TTCATTTGTGTGTTCATAAAGCAGATTCAGTATTTAAAAAGATATGTATAGGAAACATAAATTTTACATGAGAATTTGGTCTCTTAAGATTTTTCTTAAAGTTTAATTTCTTAGTATCTGAATTGAACTTAGATGGCCTTTTACCACAGGAGTCCTTAGTTGTCCCAAGTATTCATCTGTGAGCTCATGGCCTATTCTCTCCAGAGTTGAGTTCAGGGGTTGAGGGCATCCTTCCACTGCTGCATATCAGTGGGTGTTGGTGACCCACGCTGACTGTATTGTGCGGTGGTGCAGCAGGTGCTGTGCACACCTTGTTGATTTCCCACAGCTGTGGCTTTCCCACAGCAGGGGATCCCAGGCTTTTGGGTAGCTGGTTGCACCAAAAAAGAAACCTTCCACATCATGCTCAGTGAGAAACTGATGTGAAATTGTCTATTCCAGATTCACCTGGGGTACTTTCCCCTTGGCCTTTTCAGCTCTAGGCAAGGTCCTTGAGCCCAGGTGGATGTTTTCATAGGCATATTGGGGAAGGGGCTTAGGAGCATTTTCAGAGCCCAGACTTTGGTGCCTGTGCCTTTAGATCTGGGAGAATGCACCTTCTACTTATTTTGGTTGGTTATTGAGGATCCTGACCTTAATATGATTAAGTATGATAAATGCCCTGGTCTTCCTAAATCTAGTAGTTAATAATAAACAAGACAAAGTATGCATATGTAAGAAGGCCCAGAATGTAGCTGACTAGATTTAAAGGGACAGATGGCCTGGTGTTGTTATGATGAAGAGGGTGACAGAAAAGAAGATTAGGCCACCGGAAGTAGGAAAATCAAGTGTCGTTTCCCTCAAGTTTTTGCTGAACCCTGACTTTCCCCCTGAATGGGAAGTTGGGTGGATGGTAAAGGTTTCGAGGGAATCGCAGAGCTGTGATGAGTGAAGTCAGTATTTGAGTGCCTTTTATTGCCAGACACTGCACTGGAGGTGTCAGGCACCTCGACTGGTAGGCGCTAGATCCTCACTCTTAGTTGCATTTAATCTAGACATATGCTAATCTTTTTTGTTAATATCTCTTTATCCCCTGAGCACTTCCCTTGCAGGAGGAAAGCAAGGCTTATAGGTGTGATGTGGCCTCTGGGGTCCTATAGCTTAGTGACCATGCACATGGGTTCACGCCTTCCTATACCTCAGAGGTTGCCTAGAGAAGCCCCTCTTCCTGCTCCTCCTCAAGCAATGACACCCAGCTCAGCTGCAGGAATGGGCAGCTAGTTGGTATTTTTGAGAGTGGAGTCTGTGTCCTGAGGAGGGAGATACTTATGTGCAGGCAGCACCCACCACATCCCCCAGTCTCATTGCTCTAGGAGAGGTGAGGTGAGGTATTGGAGTGGACTGGTGGGGGACAGAGGGAGTCTCCTGACTTTCCCCTGCTTCAGAAGAGGCTGAGCCTGAGCATCTTGACTCCTGGGCTGCCCAGAACTTAGCCCACCAGGGTCTGCTTCCTTCCAGGCAAGGTGGGTGGGGGGGAAGGAGGGAGCCTTTCTTTCTCATATGAGCCTATGAGCAGTGCTTATTAGTTCAATATAAGCTCAGCTAAAAAGAAAATTGTCAAGGTAGTTGGCAAATGGCACCTGTTTTGCCAAGGGGATCTACTTTCCTCAGAGAACAAATTCTGGGAGCAGAATCTTGAGGTTCCTTTCTGAAGTAGGTGGTCTTTGGCGTTGATTTTTTTCTGGCCATGCTGCTACATCATATGGTAATGAGCTTATGCAAGAGTCGCCCAACAGCCTGGCCACATGCACGGGAGAACCCAGCTTTGTTTAGTGCCCTGCTCTCTGGGTCTTAGCAGATGGCTCCCTTCTTGCCAAGAGCAATTTCTAGTCCGGTTTGCAGATGTTAAGACTGTAGTGAAGAGTTCTGCAAGACTCATCATATTGAGCAGAGGTGATGCAATGCAGTGACCTCTAAATGTACAGGTGGCAGACTCCAGGGATGATCTCTTGGGAAGGTAGTAAGAGAAAGAGTGTAGACAGCTGTTTTCTGAGCCATCTTAGAGGGAAAACAGGCAATTTATTAAAATCAAACACACCTGTCCAGGGTATAGAACATTAGCCTGCTGCCGTGATCCTGGGGAATGCGCACCTTTCTCCTGCAGTGATCTCTCTTGAATTGTTAGCCATTGCTGTGTAACAAATCACCCCAGCACTTAGTGACCTCATTAAATAATAATGTATTTCTCATTGTTTCTTGGGGTAACGGGGTGGTTTTTCTCCCAGGACCAAGTTCATGTGGCTGTGGCCAGCTGGAAAGTGGCTGGAGCATGGGCTCAGCAGGGACAGCTGGGTATCTCTCTCCATGTTTAGCGGTTGGCCAGGATGTTTAGCTAGTGCCTTCATTCTTCTCCATGTGGCCTCTCCAGGCCTTTTCACACGTTGATGGAGGCCTTACAAGGGGGCAAAGGAAAAGCTGCAGGGTCTCTTAAGACTTAACCTCGGAAATGACATAACATCACAGGACATCTCAAGACCAGCCAGATTCAAGGGGTGGTAAAACAGATGCTGCCTCTTGATGGGAGCAGCGGGCAAAGTAACCCAGGTGTATGGACACAGGGGATGGGTTACAGCTTTCCTTTTGGTCCCAAGGCTTCATGTCAAGACACACTCTTCTACCCGCCCTTTTCCCCTCCTCCTGGCACAGCTGCGACTCAACATCCATGCTCTCTGCCTGCATGCAGGCTGGATATGGATGGGGTGGCCAGCGCCTCAGCCATGGCTTCACTCTGTTCAGAGAGCTGTGAACTGAAAAGACCGTATCTTAAACAGTGGCAGGGCAGGAAGAGGGTAAGTGCGATAGGTTCTCCTATCCAAAGGGGGACGGGGGAGAATGGTCCCTCACAGTTCTGATGTCTGGATGGACATGTGCTGTCAGGGCTTTTGTTAGGGCAGCATCCAGCTTCTAGCACCAATTTTTCTATCAGTTATCTATTGTTGAGTGGCAAATCAACCAAAGCCTAGTGGTTAAAACAGCATATTTATTATTTCTCATGAGTCTATGGATTAACTGGGCAGCTCTTCTGGCCTTGTCTGGGCTCTCTGCAGTCAGCTAGTGGCATGATTGAGGGTGGGTGGCCTAAGATGACCTCATGCACACACTGGGACCACAGCTGGAATCCAGGATGTGGCTGGGTGGGTCTGTCTCATGGCACGCCTGTCATTCCTGGCCCCTCCTGGCCTTGTGGTCTCACAGTTCTGAGAAGGGAACTCTGTAAGCCCTTCCGGGGCCTGGGCTTAGAGGTCGCACAGCATCCCGACTGCACGTAGTGTTGGTCAAAATGCGGAACAAGAGCAGCCCAGAGTCAAGTTCACAGCGTGTGGACACACAGAGGCAGGATTCATTGGCGGTTATTTTTGTAATAGTCTCCCACACTGTCCTCTTCAATATTATTGTAAAGGTCTGAATAAACTCTTGTTGGCTTCTTTTTAAAATTAACTCTCATAAAGGAAATGCCACTGTTTTTTTTTTTTTTTTTTTTTTTGTATGGAGGTGGGGTAGTTAATGGAGGGGGTTGTCAGCTAACCTCTAACAAGCATGTTTTAGGGGCTCATCACCTTGTCATGGCTGCCTGGCTGCTGTCCCCAGCTCTCCTGAGCAGTGGGTCTCTAAGTGTGGTCCCCGGACCAGCAGCAACTGCGTTACCTGGGAATACTAATCCTTGGGCCCACACTGGATCAACTAAATCAGAAACTGTGGGGCTGGGCTGGGCAATCTGTGGTCTAACAGCTTTCCAGGTGATTCCATTGCTTGCTAAGATTTGAGTATCACTGCTCCTGGGAATTAAAGTGGTAACCAGCTCACTTCTGCCTTAGGGAATCAGGCTCTTACCACCTCTCCTTACCCGTGTGAGCAAGAGATCTTATCTCCATTCTCCCCTTCTACAGCCTGCTGTCTCTGAGTTAGGACAGTCTTTGTAATGTCTAACCAGGATCCTGTTCTGACAGCGCAAGGCTGGGTTTTTTTTTTTTTTTTTTTATCACTTGGGGGATGTTTGACCTTCACTGTCATTCCACTCATTGTGCCCAGGCACACGGGCAGAGAGATGAGTAAGACACAGTCCCTGAACTCCCTCCACTTGCCAGTCTAGCAGGAGATGGTGTCAGACGAGGATACAGGGGATGGTCCAATTCAGTTGGGAATTTTGTTCATACGTGTTGAGCCTGAGATGTGTGGGAAGAAAGAGATGATACCCTGGCAAGTAATTGATCCTAGGGCTGGAGCTCGCAGTTTGAGAATTATTATGTAGGGCCGGCCTGGTGGCGCACTGCTACAGTGCGCCGCTTGGGAGTGTGGCGGCGCTCCCACCGAGGGTTCGGATCCCACATGCAGACCGGTTCCCGCTCACTGGCCGAGCGAGGTGTGGGCACAGCACCGAGGGTTGCCATCCTGTTGCCGGACACGAAAAAAGACAAAAAAAAAAAAAGAAAATTATTATGTATATGATAATTTAAAAGTGTCCTTAGAGGTGGCTGTTCATCAGAATCAATTGGGGTATTTTAAAACATATAGGTTATATACTTCCCTGCCCCCAAACGTATAAACATGAGAATGTTAAGTGTCTCTGGTGACTCTGATCAGCTAGGTTTGGGAAACACAGCCCCAAACCCTGAAAGTGTCTGGTATCACTGAGGAGAAGGAATAGAGAAGGAACCTTGGGGGAATGCCCTGGGTTAAGGACTGGCCAGGGTGAAGTCTGAGTGAAGATTTTTCTGGAACTAGGGGGGCTGAAAGTAGATGAACTGAAGCAGGGCTGTAGATGCCAAGGGACTGGAAAGTTACAAGGAGGAGGCGGTGGAGGAGGGCGTGGTTGACGAGGCTCAAATGCATGCAGGACGCTGCTTCATTGGTGACCAGAGAGAGAGCAGGAGCCAGGCTGCAGCGGTGGGGAGCGTGGGCAGGTCTAGATGACTTTCAGGGAACTTCAGAGGAGGACAGAGTGAAGGGGGAGGGCTCCCAGGGTGCTTTTGTTTGTTTTAAATGGGAGAAACCTGAGCATGTTGCCAAGATCAAAGAGCCAGTAGAGAGGGGTGAATGGAAGAGGGAGCTGAGAAGAGGGTTCTTGATGAAGCTGTATTCTGGAGGGGAGAAGGATGGATTCCAAAGGCCAGCTTTTAGGATTGGCCTTGAAGAAGAGGAGGGCCACCCTGCCTTGTCCTGGAGGGAAAGAGGTAAGGGAAAGGGTATGAAAACAGCCACAGTGGTAGCGGCTACAAATGGACAGCAGCCACTCACGTCTATATTTTATTATACCTTAAAAAGGGAACTAAATACAACCCTCACCCTCAATCCTTTAATCCTAGCAGCTGTGTCAGGAGGGTGGGGACATAGGTTCAGGGCGGTTTGCAGGTGGAGTGGGTGTGAGGTCCCCATCTGGGATTCTCTGGCATTCTGTGGGGATGTTCCCAAAAATGACTTAGAAGGATGCTCAACTGGAGAACTTGACAAGTTTGAAAATAATAACAAGAGGATAGTTTAGAGCTACCCACTAGCTTCAAAAACAATCCTCACTTAAGAAAATTATCCTGGGCTCTGGCTGCTGGTCATTGACTATCTTGGTAAACCCAGGGGTCTTGGACTATGATTTTTAAAGCCTGGAATACACATTCTGGCTTTTGAGTATGGTGTCTCAGAGACATTTGAAACATAGCTTCATGACTACAGACAGTTTAGCAGTTGCTGGGGAAAAAAATGCCTCTCTATTAATCACCAGTTGGTATGTTTAGTGCAGTACTTCAAGTAGAAATGAAGGTGAATAGGTAGTTTCATTTTTAACACAGTGGATGTTTGGATAGCTTTTTATGAGCTGGAGGAGCATGGCCAACAGTGTAGTCCTTGTGATCTCTGGCAGTGTATCAGACCATGGATTACATAGGCCGCCCCTCGCAGTGCTAGCCGAGCTCTGAGTGACGTGGTCTCTCATGTCTTGTGTGTCATTTTTTGGGGGGGGGTGGTAACCCCAGGATGCATTTCCCATTGTACGTATCATGTCCAGCACACAGACCTTACTTTGTTCATTTTTACTACGACGGTCGGTGGGTCTTGTGAGCTTTTCCATTGTTCGATGTGCAGTGTCTAAATGGGGCAAGGGCTCTGCCTCCTTTGTGTGAAGGACAGCACCTGGGACTGCTAGCTTGTGTGTTGTTTCTGTGGCGGGCGCACTGTGGCACAACAGGGTCTCCCAGTTAGAAATGGGCTGACTGGCTTTCAGCAGTCCCCTGTGGAGTGGTTGCTTGGAACTCGGTGTGTTTCACCTTGGAAAGCAAGTGAGTGGTTAGTGCTGGTTAGTCCACAAAGCTCATTTAACTCAGAGTGCTGCTGAAATTGCTGCAGTACTGTGACATGACCCCCTTACGTTCACTGCCCTACGGAGGCCTCCTCTTCCTGTGTCTCTTATCCCGGCTTCTCTTGTTCTCGCTTTACCTCCTTTTCAGTCCTCCTCCTCCGTCCCCCTCTTGTTCTGTTTCCATGCTATTTCCGTCTCTTTGAAGGATTAAAACTAGACTTTTGAGGGTTGGCCTGGCATCCTGTTCCTTGTATGTAACGTTTCTGAGGGAAGATGTGTCTGTAGGATCAGAGTCCTTTCTTGCTCTGTGGGATCCCAGCCTAGTGCTTGTCATTGGGGTGCTGTTGGTGTTTGGGGCTGGGCAGTTACTTGGGAAAGGTGTAGCATCCCTGGCTCTTCTTGCTCAATGTCAGTATTGTCCCTCAGTTTTATGACAAACAGCCCCTCACACGATTTCCAGATGCCCCCCTGGGATGTCAGGTTGCTACCCCTGTTGAGAGCTCGCCTGTCTACACGTGTCTGTATGGGGCTGCTGTGAGGGTAGATGCTTGAGCCATGACAGCCAGACTCCTTGCAGTATTGGCAATTAATCAGGCTGGTGGTTAAGAGCCTTTAGAAGCTATTTCAAGGGCACAACATTTATGGGATGAAAGAAAACAGGCTGCTTATTGTTTTCTGGGGTCTGGTTAGATTGTTATTGTTTAGGTGAAGGCAGTAGCTATAAATGAAGTGCATTGGATTGTACTTACTGGATTTTAAATTATAGCCTGTTATGAAACAGTTATAATTAAAGTATACATTTTTTCTCTTACATGATATAGCTAGTTAACCTATGTTTTAGTAAATACCCATCTGAATTTAGAAACTTTTGGGGATAGGGCGGGGAGAAAAGTGGAATTTTTACTTAGACAAGAGTGATTTTTAAACAAATCCGTATGTCCTAACATGTTCAAATAAATGTTTCAGTTTTTATTTACTTTACTTTCATTTTATAAAAGCTGGAGCCTTTTTCATTTTTTCTAATCCAGCAGGGTAATTGTTCAGGTTGCACACTTCAGGAGTCTCATGCACACGTGTGAATGAAACCTAGGATTCTTATGTCCTGAACCTAAAGGACTGATCCTTAACACAGAAAACAAATCAGTCCCTGAAAAACTGTGGTCTGTAACATTATAAATTGAGCAAAAAACCAGTCATGGCATTGTGAGGTATTAAAGTTTCCCTTCTTTTCCTTCTCTCCTACAGAACCTAAAAGCAGATCCAGAAGAGCTTTTTACAAAACTAGAGAAAATTGGAAAGGGCTCTTTTGGCGAGGTGTTCAAAGGCATTGACAATCGGACTCAGAAAGTGGTTGCCATAAAAATCATTGATCTGGAAGAAGCTGAAGATGAGATAGAGGACATTCAACAAGAAATCACAGTGCTGAGTCAGTGCGACAGTCCATATGTAACCAAATATTATGGATCCTATCTGAAGGTAAGGCTTAAAAATAACGTGACACTAAATTGTGGATAATAATGGAATATCTTGGTGGAGACTCTGCACTAGATCTATTAGAACCTGGTCCTTTAGATGAAACTCAGATTGCTACTATATTAAGAGAAATACTGAAAGGTAAGGCTTAAAAATAACGTGATTTTCCATTATGCAGCAGTTGACTTTGATACAAGCAGTGGATGTGAAGGACTCTAATAGCACAGCAGGTTTTCAGAGGAAGGAGAACTGTTTTGACCTTTGCGATCAAAACAACCTGGCTTTGATAGTTATGTCATCTTAAATGTCACCTATAGAAATATATTTTTGGTGAAAGTGTTTGTTGAAATTCTCTTTCAAACAAGAAAATATCTGAGTGGGACTTCGTCATCAAAACTGTTTTGTGTTAAGTTATAACAATAACCATTAATCACCCAATTTTAGGATGGTTTATGATTAGCAATAAAAACTTATGCCAAACTAAGAATATTAACCTTTTGATTTTTTGGGTCATCAACTATGGTTTAATTTAATGCTGTCTTTAAAAACTGCTGAAAATGGATAGTGTTGATTAATTATCTCAACTTGACTTTTCAGAATGCTAGGTAAGTAAATAATTAAATAAAATAGTAGTTATAATAATACAACACTGTGAATTGTCTTTGACCTCCACCCAGTTCTTTAAGTGGGAAAGAATAGTATTAAAAATGGTTTTCTGATCCCGCATGGAATCATTTTACCATTTTAGGCGTTGTAGGGTAATCGTATTACACCACTAGGAAAGTTTAAGACTGTTCTTGTGCTTCAGGTTCCTTGACCTATGCCTGCTTCACTGAGCTTACAAGTGTTTTTTTTTTTTTTTTTAAAGATGGGACATTAGAAATCTTAAAAGTAGGTGAAAAAGCTCTGAAATAATTCTTGTGGAAAACAAAACTTTGTGGGCAGAGACAACTATTTCCTGAGAGAGGCAACAATAAACCTGGATGACTTAAGACTATGCCTCCTCCTCTCCTGGGTTTATCCCCCGAGTGTAGCTCACAGCCTGCTAGCCTGCCCTAATGTCAGAGGGATAGTATGGGTTTTGATCTTGTGGAAATGTGATAATAAGGTATAACCAAAGGATGGGAATTTTGAGAACCATTCATTTACTAAAATGAATATTCTAAATTGAGTGGTAACACCCACCCCCCACCCACCCCCATTGTATAAAGGATAGTTAAAAGTCATACGTCAAATGTAGCATTTTGAAAAGAAAAAAGTGAGTTTTGGAGTCAGTTGTCACTGGACTTGAATCTTGCTCTGGTTTACTTTTTGTAGCCTTGAGCAAGTTTTTTTGGTTTTGTTTTGTTTTTAAACTTCACTGCTTCCTCACTGTTGCAAAGGTGAAAGGGAATTAAGTATGTGAACACACCTGGCATGTAGTAGGTACTTAATGAGTGTTAATTAATTGAATTTATTCATCTCTAAAATTGCCTTACAATGAAGGTAATTTGTAGTGAAGGTATCCATGAGGTCAAACCAAGAAGATCAGGACCACAGAAAGGAGGAGGACCATGCCAACAAGGGTGAATATTTCTGTGATGGCCAGTTTGGGTCTTGACAGGGCAGAAAGGGAACCTCTGTGAGTTTTATCATTCTCATGATCCAAGAGGAGAACACATGCCACTTCTGTAGGGAATTCCAAAGTCTTCTTGATGTTAAATTTCTATTAAGAACAAACAGCTAAAGAAACTCCACTTGGACTCTGTCCACTGTATCACTTCATATTATCTGTAAATGGTCTCAACAATACTGTTATAGTAAATTCTGAGTTAGATTTCACGTGATATGCTGACATTGTAGTTTAATGTGAATTATGCTGCTGTTGGCAGAGGAAATGTGGAAGATCCTCACAAATGTTTGATGATTTATACCAGGCAATATTTAACTATGAAAATTAAGGATCAGTGGTTCAAAGTATCTTCAACTTCTGCTCCTCAATAGAATTTTTACTGGATGCTGTAATAGATGGCTTTATTGTGGCCAAACATGGTGTTACCTTGTCTGTACCTACCTAGAGATTCCATCCGGTATCTCCTGTTCTTGCCTGAATCACCAATTCTAGAACATTAGGTTCCAGGTCAACCTAACCTTGATCTAGGGTTGCTCAGTGTATTTTGTTTAGTTAACATAATGTTAACTGCTGTGATAAACCCCTTACATTTATAATGACTCATATAGGATAGAAATTTATCTCTTCCTCACTGGTTGCCCTGATCTGTGGGCAGTTTTCTGGAACTCAAGTTTCTTCTGTTTTGCTGTTCTTCTGTCTTCCACACATGGCTATGCTCAGCTGCCTTTAGTCAGTGTGGGGGAAAAATGGAGGCTCACGTGTGAGAAGGTCTCATGTGCCCAAACCTAGATGTAGACCACATTATTTCTGCTGGAACTCAGACACATGACCACACCTAACTCAGGGGAGGCTGGGGAGTGTCATAGACTCATGTGCTTAATGGGAAGAGGAAACAGGCAAGGTGCACAGCTGGCTGGTCTTTTCTAAAGCCACTTACCCTATAAAGCAAATGGAATGACTCATGGAGTGGTTTTCTCCACTGACTGCCTTCAGGTAGGACGAAAAGTTTTGATAAATTTATCTAACGTGGTTTATATGTTATGTGAGGCAGATTGTCCTTTAAGAAATATAACTGCCACAGGAGTGCCAGGAATAATGTCATCATTGTGGAAAGTTGCCCTTGATTTCTTTCAGACATGTAAACGACATCCTGTCTTATTTGGCTAAAAAGATAACAAACTACCCTTGTTAAACAATATTAATTGTTATAATCAGGCAGGACAAGAATCCAGACCTGTAATTCTGTCTGCTGTTCTTGTATAATAGGGTTTCATGGAATTCCTTGGCCCAGAGGAGGAGCCCCCGTGTTCTTCTGTCATCTTGGAAGGCTTATTAAGTTTAAATTAGCACAGTCCTAACTGTCAAGGAAGATGCAGGTTAAGTGGATGTGTAAGACAGATGGGTCTTTGACACACAGTTGAAAATAATTGTGCTATATGTGGTTTTCGTTGCCCTTTTAAAACACTTCAGTTAAAACAGTTCAGAACTACGTTGTCAATTGTTTAAAAGAACTGATTTTTGGTTTTTGCTTTTTTGTTTTTGGGGGAGATTGCCATCTTGTCAGAGTATCCACATTGAGATTCACTTATAGCTGGGACCCTGTGTCAAGGGACTTTACCTAGCAGGACTGGACAAAGAAGAAATTTCTTCATTGCTGAGTTAGCATTCAGAGATCTTGAGATTATGCTTTGGTTTCATTAATCTAGTCTAGAAAAAGAGATTAAAAACAATAGGTGTAGTGGATTGAATTATGTCCCCCCAAAACTCCCTGAAACTTGAATTGTGTCCCCCAAGTTTTATGTATTAGGAATTGAATTATGTCCCCCCAAAACTCCCTGAAACTTGAATTGTGTCCCCCAAGTTTTATGTATTAGGAACTTAGCCCCCACTGTGACTGTAAAGAGTGTGGGAAATCCTATTATGGTAATTGAAAGGTGGGGCCTTGAAGAGGTGATTGGGTTGTAGGACCATGCAGCAGTAAATGGATTAAACATGGTTGTCAGGGGTGTGGTTCTGAGGGCTTTAAAAGAAGAAGAGAGTCCGCCTTCTTTCTCTGCTCTCTCTGCTCTCTCTGCTTCCACCATCTTGCAATGTGAGACCCCTGGGTCACTGTTGCCACCACACGATGGACTTTGGACTTCCCAGCCTCAGAAACTGTAAGCAATAAATTTCGTTTTTCTTTATAAATCACCCAGTTCAATGTATTGTGTTATAAGTGACACAAAATGGACTAATGCAATAGGTAAATGGTTTATGTATACTGAATGTTACTGAGGATCAGGAGAATGGTGTTAATTCTGACTGTGTAGCTATTATCAAACCACGGAATTGCTTTGAAGCATATGTTCTTTTAAATCAAGATGAAAAGCAAAAACAAGGACAGCAATTTAGTGGGGAGAGGGAATAGTACAACAGTGAAAGTGTTTGTTTATATTGATGAATGTTAGGCCTGGGAAGATCTTGAAGGTTATCACACACGTAAAAAAAAAACTTCATTCGTTGTAGTTTAAGTGTTTAATTTTTGGGAAATTAAACCAACTAGAATATTCAATCAATCAGAAGCCTCCATATCATAACCATTATACACCACTGGAGTTCTCTACCACAAAAATACCATCCGCAAGGTCAAAGTGAAACCGTGGGGGGATGGGGAGAGGTTAGGGAGGTATAGAGTGGTGTGTGGGAGGAGAGAGAAAGTTTTGGTTTTGTTTTTCAGTCAGGCAATAAAGACATAAGATTGTAACAGAGGATGGCGTCTCGTACAGGATTCTAAGCCTGGTTTCTCTTTCTTCAGCATTTACAAGCCCTGCTCATTCTTTGATTCTTTTTTTTTTTTTTTTTTTTTTTTTTTGGTTTTTGGGGAGATTGCCATTTGTCAGAATCTCCACATTGAGATTCACTTATAGCTGGGATTTTAGTCTCAGATCCAAGTACAGGGAGGGACTCAACTGTCTGGGTGTTCTTCAGCCTGCTTGACTTCCTCAAGGATAAAATGCAGAAAAAATTAGATATTATAGGATTACTATAAGGATCAAGATCATGTATGTAAAGTGCCTGGCATGTAGTAGATTTAAGTAAATGAGATAAACTTAAAAATTAACTCTTTCCTTATTAAAAAAAGATCTGTGCCAAATGACTCAAAAATTCAAGTGTCGTCCCCCCCCCCCCCATAAAACGTTTTTGTTTTACCTTTTTTACACCAGTGTTAACAAAAAGGTGGGAGGGAAGGGGAAGGTGGACAGTGTATTTTATGCCTTTAAGTGGTGGGGGCAGGGGGCTGGGGCCCAGGCAAACAAAAATCACGTTCTGGTCTCTGTGGAAATATTGAGAGTTTCGAGAGCAAAATGTGGTGGGAAGCAGGCCTCAGAGCCAGAGATGGGTGTTTGTCAGG